CCTGGTCGCCGGCTGCCACGTGGACGTGACTGAGCGCCTGTCGTCGTCGGGGAGGAGGCGCCGAGGGAAAGGGAAAGATATACGGCCGAGCGGGCCGAACGGGCCGAACTTAACCTCTCGCGTCGCGGCTAACCTGGCCCCGGGTTATAGGACAACGTAGAGTGAGTGTTGGGTTGAAGCAGTGCCGGGCCGAGGACGAGCCTCGTCGTCAACCTCGTCATGTTCTCGTCGAAAGACTCGATCAAGGCCGACTACGTTAGCCTCAGCATTAACGACGGCGCGGCCTCCGTTAAGGCCACTTCCCGAAGCGTCTGGAGAGTAAGTAAATCGTCGATTGTCCACCTCCCGTTACCTCCCGTTCGCTCACCCAACGAGGTGGTAAACAGGCACGTTACCGCGCAAAGTGCCTTATGTTTATTAGCCGTTTGATGTTTCCTTATACGGTGAAATGTCCGGCTGTGGTGGACGAGTCGGATATTTATTTTAAACAATCAGCAAGAGATTTCGTCAAACGCCACTTTGTTTAACTAATAATAACTAGACCGCCGCATCCAAGTGGGATTTGAATTTTGAATGAAAAGCGCGATTTCGCTTTTTATCGTCACTGCTATTATTCCTTAAGCATTACCATTCCAATAATAATACCCATTCGTCGTCTCAAATAATTAATTAGCCTCAGTTTCGCTCTAAGTAGCCAATAAAGATTACGGCAACAAATATTATTGGCAATGATATCGAGCGTTAAGTAATTACTGCTATTAAAGATAAATTTATACGATTGATTATTGTTCATTGAGCTTGAACCGATTATAAATTTGTTTATTGGCTTGTGGTACACCGGTTTCTCCCATTACTTTTTCTCCTCGAGAAGCTAATTGGTAATGCTAATAATTAGTGGGCGCACTGTTGAACAAAGCGTAAAACAAAATTGCCTTGAGTTTCGGAGCTCTCGATTTTATAATGTTTTGAAGTGAAAAGCAATCTCCACTTAGGGGTACATAAATATAATGACTGACTCGAAATTAAGCCACGCAATCTTAACAAATAATACACTCGCTATCTATTGATAAACGTAATATTTATAAATTAAGTAATAATGTTTTGGGCCAGTGCCTTGTTCATTGCCACAGAAGTTGACTGAATGCGCGTACTTGTCCTTTGTTTTGATTGCCCATAATGTTATAAAATATAACCAGCGATCATTACGCAAACTACAAATATTTGAATTTATTTATAGCAATGGAACCAATTGTCCAGGTTTCAGCGCACCATTTTCCATTTTGCTGTGATAACAATTGTAATTCTTGTAATTTACTTATTACCTGGCAAGACTCAAAATATTACTAAAGTCCAAGAGAATGATTATGACAATGAGAAGATCATCAAAGAACATCCAAAGCTATTAGAGGTAAATTATCCCAATTAATTGTTGCAAGATCATTCTTAGCCAATCGATTTGTAACTCGTAAAGCAATGTTTCATAAGCAAAATTGTGTTAATGCAATAATAACCAATTGTGCGAGAAACGAAACCTTATCAAATCATATTTTTATAATTTTAATATCTATTATCGAGCTCGCATTATGTATATTATAGAAGTTGAGCCATTCATTAGAAACATTCGCTGATAATTTTTTTACACGCGCTAGAAGAGCACATAATTCAACATAGATTATCTAAATTACAAAACATTTTTCTTTATTTGCATCGACGAAGGTAGCCAATGAAATTAAAATAGATAGCGTGGATCAGAATAAGGAAGCAATTGACAAAGGAATTGGGAGCAACAATGTCGAAGTTATAGATGAACCCGAATTTCAACCTGAAATCAATCAAGTAGAAGACGATCAAATTAGGGAACCGCCTGATCATAAGTCGCAACCTGTAAAATTTGATGGTATCCATACTAATTGACTTAATACTTTTTGACAAAATTCTTCCCTTTCGTTAATGATGTTATTAAGATAAATTCATGGAATATCATTAAAATTTAACGCTAACTTATTTTATATAATTTGTGCTGTAATAGGTCCGCAAAATGCCAAGCAAAAAGCTATAATCGAAGCTTTCAAGCACTCTTGGAATGGATATAAAAAATATGCTTGGGGATACGATAACATTAAGCCAATTTCCAAAGGGCATCACGAATGGTTTGGCCTAGGCTTAACCATTATCGATTCTTTAGACACTATGTACATTATGGGACTAAACGAAGGTATGTAAAAGCCATGAATTTTGAAGTGTGATTTTTAATTTTAAATAATAATTGTAGTCTGCACGTCGTCAATTTTGAAATGCTATCTTAACTCTACGATGTAACACAATGTGCAATAAATTCAAATTGTCGGAGGAACCATTCAACTAGTCAGCTAATCAGACTCTTATTTATTTTGTAGAATTTCAAGAGGCAAGAAATTGGGTACAAAATAGCTTGTCATTTGATCAAAATAGAGACGTAAATTTATTCGAAGTGACCATTAGAGTACTTGGTGGATTATTAGCAGCATATCATTTGTCTGGTGATAAAATGTTTCTGGACAAGGCGGTAAAATAAATTTTCGTTTTTATTCTTACTAATTTTAAAGTTAAACAAACTCCATTGTTTAATATATTACGTACTTACTCGTAAGGTTGAATTTTGATTTAAAGCGAAATTTTAATCGCGAGAATGATTTTAATAAATCTCTCCGAGTTAATGCTTATAATCGGTATTTTTTAATTCTGACGTAATTAAGTGACGAGTTAATTATTTATTTATTTGATTAGAATTTTGCACGTTATTGTAAGTATATTAATCTTCACATAGAACATAATTAGTAAGAATTGAAAATTAGGAGATATTTGTAGCTTATATCGCATAAGACTTTAATTTTATTCAAATACTATACTTATCGTCGTTGTGTCCTATGGTTAATTAATGTTAAGAGTGTGTGTGTGCGCGCGCGCGCGCGTGTTTTTTTTTTTTTTTAACACGTAATCAAATATACAAATACTAATATATTAAAAGTACTATATCGAAAATGCCTTATAAATATGAGTGTGAAAGCACTATAATATTGAATTTGATACTAAGTTCATTTGTATGGTAATATTCAGGCGCTGTTTTTGTCGTAAATTTTCCTACGAAAAATTAAATTATTAATGAGCACATTAATTGCGCGCGCGCGAGAGAGACAGAGAGAGAGAGAGAGAGAGACAGCTTTGATAGAAATAAAGTAACACAAATTTACACCATTTTTCACGTTAGTTTCAACTAATTTCGAAGCAAACCCTAATAATCGTTGAAGACAAATTGAAGTCTTATGTAAATAATAAGTAACGTAACAACATTATCGTTAACTCTTTACGGCTGTATTACAATTAGCAAACAATACAAGTACGTGTATATCGATAAAATATATTGGCTCTCCTAGCAAAAAAATAATACCTAACTCCATACAATACGTGCATAATACATAAGAGCTTTACGGCAAATTTTATATTTGATTGGATTGAATCATGAGAATTAAATGTATATTAAATGCTAGCACTTTGGTTGTATTGGCATTTATTATTATTAAACTCTTATTTAATACAAAGTTTAAAATAGCTGTAGGCTGAATGTGTCTGAAAAGTAAACAATGTAATCGGATTAAAAAGACGATAAACAGCAATTGTGACGAATAAATTTTATGTAAATTGCATGTAGGTCGATGTTAATATACACAAGCTATAAAATGATTAATTGCGCTTACACGATAAGATTCAATTGACAAAAAGTAAAAGCTTAGGCTTGACAATCATTTAAAAAGTCCCACTAGCACGCCTATGTGGTCACGATAATAAGACGCTTAGCTCGTGTTATCGGATTCCGGCTTATCGCATAAACTCTCGAAATGGCTATAATGAAAAAGTATGGCATACACATCTCGCAGATCGACCTCGGTGACCGAATGCTGCCGGCCTTTTCCACGCGCTCAGGTGTCCCGTTCTCGGACGTGAACTTGGGGACACGGAGCGCCCATCCGCCCAAGTGGGGCCCGGACAGCAGTACAAGCGAGATCACCTCGATCCAACTGGAGTTCCGCGACCTCAGTCGGAGCGTTCAACAGCCGCACTTTGAAGTCGCAGCGGCCAAGGTCTCCGAGCACGTGCACCAGCTCGAGAAATACGACGGTCTCGTGCCCATCTTCATCAATGCCAATACAGGACTGTTCCGCGAGTACGCGGTAATCACCCTTGGAGCCAGGGGCGACAGCTACTACGAGTATCTGCTCAAGCAATGGATACAGACGGGCAGGACCATCGATTAGTGAGTCACTGGCTTCGTGTCATTTAGCGGGGAGCGTGATTAACGTGAATTTATAATATTAAAATAAAGAGCGGATTATGTCACCGAGCGAGGGGACATTTTCGTAAAATTATTCTTATTTCCTTATATATTATGTTGCTAAGTGTCGTAAAGTTGATCGAGCATTTAATTGAAGCTCGTCGTTGCTCGACAATCATCCAACTCATTTACCAACATTCATTCGACTTATAAGGGAATTGTATTTATTTATTTACAATGTATCGTTTAATTATACTTAGGGTGCATTTTTCTTAATCTTTGGTTTAGCTTGAAAGATGACTATTTGCTTGGCATCGAAGGGACCAAAAAACACTTGGTAAAGAGAACTGCCGTTCGTAAATATCTATTTATAGCCGAACTCTTGGGTGCTGCTCGATATATGAAGCCAAAAATGGTCGGTCTTAAGCTAATAATTACTCGATCGCTTTATCGTTACATCTCGCAACTTAATTCCAAAATGAAATGTTACATTGCAGGATCATTTGACGTGTTACTTAAGTGGAACTCTAGCGTTGGGAGTGCACTTTGGCCTTCCAAAGGAGCACATGGACATTGCGACCGAATTGCTAAAAACTTGCTACGAGACTTACATTATACAGCCAACCTGCCTTGCTCCCGAAATTACCTACTTCAATATCCAGGTAATATTATTATTGGTGTAGATGCTGCAAAAGCGTATGTACCTAATTCGTCGAGGCATTCGTGTGAATAAATCAGGGTAATTGAGTATGTATGGGGTGATAATGTCGGGAGGAGATTTCATTGCGATATCAAATACTATGCAATTTTGGAAATTAATTTGGTTTTGTTTTGTTTTAGAAATCGGACGATGAAAATCAAAAGGATATGTATGTGAAGACAAATGATGCGCACAATCTCCTGCGGCCTGAATTCATTGAAAGTTTATTTTACATGTGGTACTTTACTGGCAACAAAACTTATCAGAATTGGGGCTGGAAAATTTTTCAAGTAAGTTTCATAGAGCGTGAAAACAATGATAATTTATTTCAGTGACGAGCGATTATGTAGAGCACATAATTACAAGAAAGGGTCCTTTATTTGCAATAGAATCTCTTTTGTATTAATTTTAACAAATTTTACCATAATATCGATTCAATTTAATTTTTATAATAAGCGCCATTGTTATAATTTCAAGCAAGACGAGAGCTCTTAAAATTATTATTATGGAAATATTATTAATCCTGATAATTTTACTTTTCCTTTCAGGCTTTCAAAAATTATACAAGAGTCGAAAATGGGTACACGAGTATCGGCAATGTCAAGAATATTCATAACACACGCCCGCGCGATATGACCGAGAGTTTTTGGTTTGGCGAAACATTAAAATATCTCTATTTATTATTTGACGATACTAGGCAACTAATTGATTTAGACAAATGGATTTTTAATTCCGAAGGCCACCCCTTACCGATTTATGATGCGTAAATGACTATTATTATAACAATAGACAAATGAAGTTTGTGTAATACGCGAATGAAGGAGACGCCGTTGGAAGGTTGTTCGAATTAATGTTGTGATAAATATTTATATTTTATATTTAAAATTTAATTGTTTGTGCCAGGCATGCGAGTATGCTCCAACGTTACAATGCGTTTTGGCATGCACGCGTATATTTACAATTGATTTATGTTTTGTTTTGTATTTTTTTTTGTTTTGTTTTTTTTTTTTTTTTTTTTTTTTTTTGATTTTAACGAAATTGAAATAATTATTGAATCAGTCTGTAGAATATTTTTACGTGTACACATGAATAGGACGACGAAAAGATATTTTATGGATGTATTGTACAGAAAAAAATAATCCAAACAAATATTTATTAAGTCAACTTGTTAAATAGGAAAAGAGCTGTAGCTTAAATGGTCACGTTACAGTACTTATATATAATTTTTAAAAGCTTCTATGTCTTTATCTTTATCTCATTTCTTTTTGTTTGTTAATTGTAATTTATTATTTAATTGAATTTGCCTGTATGTTTTTGGGTGTCGCGTGTTTTGAAATTTCAAAACAATGATATTCCATATCATACAAAAATAATACAGATAAAAAGCGTGATAAAACGATAGCGATTAATCATAAATTATTGACTATGTAATGAAAATTTATAGTATAATATAAATAATACGCAATATAGTATAATTATTAAAGTTACAAATATGTTATAGTGCGCTATCAATTTTCATAAAAAGTCGGAAATGAACTATTTAGCATTATTACTATTAAGTTTTACAACGAAGTCTTACGAATCCTAAAATTTTGAATAAAATATAAAGAAATTTTGTAACTATGCGAGGGTACATTTTATGAAATGGATTGTGTAATATAGTCGAATAATCCTCTAGTCGTATACCTGGATGCATAGACATAAAAGGTGGTTTAAGAAGTATCTTAATAAATTTTAGATTATGTTCATCATTAAAATCGGTTTGTTGAAAGGAGTTGAAGAATTTTCGTTACTTATACAGAATTGCCATACATAATATTTTATCCAATTGTGTGAAGTATACACCAACAGCAATTTAATAACAATTTAATACGTCAGTTATATGTCATTATGTGTACTATGCTATCTAGGTATATCTAAGTATATATGATTGTACATAAATGCGGACGCGACCGTGTATAATTATTATATTGGAACGTATGTACAAAATTGATATAGTTAAAGTTTATTAAAAAAAAAAAAAAAAAAAAAAAAAAAAAAAAAAAAAAAAAAAAAAAAAAAAAAAAATTTGTAACAGTTATATCTGTGATTGTTCAAATTTTAGTTTATAATGTAAACAATTAAAAATCAATTCTTACTTATAAAACTATGAATGATTAGCTGCATCATCCGATAAGATAACTAGCTAAAAAGCATAATTAGATAATAATTTAAAAATATGTTTTATTAACATATTTAATATCTTAAATCGTACGATCTTTTAATATTCTAATGCCTTTATTCGATTACTTATATTATCTATTGTTAGAGGGATCAAAGTAACTTACTTATTATGTGGATAACAACGTGTGTACTTCTGATTTTATTTGTACATAAATTTAATTTAGTATATGTATTGTCATGGTCCTTGAGACGTGGATTTAAGTAGACAATTATAAAATGTTGAAATTAAGTAATTAGCCATAACTTTCAGCCATGTCTCAATTCCAGAAATAATTGTATAATATAATTAGTAATTGTTTAGCTATTTGAAAGAGCAAGCGGAGCAAATAAGGAATAAAAAATGTGAAATAAAAAATAAATATATTATAAAAGCATGAATAGATTAAACATCGAGTAACTGTTATTAATTATGCAAGTGTTGTAAAAAAAAAAAAATTATTAATTAATTAATTATTAAACATATCTTAACAAGCATTAAAGTTGGAATGCATTGATATTAATAATTAGTTATCTGTGTGCTATTATTTCCGATGGTAAATATAAATTAAATATATTATTTGATTTTTAAATACGAGACAAGTTAGTTAAATTACAATGACATGCATATCATTCAATGAACTCGTATATGTATATGCGCGATATGCAATGTACTCCAAATACTATTCACTGTATATTAACAATGTATTCGTAAAGTAGTCTATGCCTATCCCATCACTTATCCAAGTTTAATAATTTAATTATGCGTACAAATGTATTGTGATTTGCATTTTACATTGATAATCCTGCGCTTTCGTCTATACAATAAGGTGTCATTGTGGTTGGCTCGGTTAATAGACGCACGAATAAATAAATTGATTAATATAGTTGGAAGAGAGAATTCAATTCAATTCTATACAGTTCTAGATATTGCAATCGATACATGCGATTAGAAAAGGAAAAATTGAATGTCGACTCGAGATCTTAACATTTACAACTTACAACTAGATCATGAAAAATCTACATCATGAAAAATATGAAGCTCGAACAATGTTATACACGTTCAAACCATTATTGTTCATTAAAATGATTCAGAAAGTTCACTTACTTAATAATCGGTTTCGCTGATTTTCATCTTTCGTACTTTAATAGAGTTCTATTACTAATAACTAGACTTGTCTATTCCAATAATGACAAATCACTGTGAAATTTTGACCGAACATGTTTATTTGTGAAACGATGCACAGCATATTTAATACGGAATTTAGAATACAATGTTAATATAATCATTTTATGCAAAGATCATCTGATTTGGATAAATTCATAATATACTTCTTGATTTATTATATATTGAGTATTTATTATTATTTTTGTATTCTATTCGCTCGCTCACTTACACATTCGAGCTAATAAACCAAGTAATATTAATCATAGTATTATAGTAACTAATGTACATACCATGAAATATTATCGATTATGGACTTATATGTCCAATAAACAACAACTTAATACCATTGACTTTATTCAATATAAATAAACGCTATTTTATTTAATTTATCTAATAATGAAATTTTATATTGAAAATCATCCCTCGTGCGTTCATTACATTTGTCATTACATTAATAAAGATTATGATTAAAATAACAATTTGAAAAATATATATAATAGAAACAAAAAAGTGAAATAATAAGAAATAATAAATTTATTTAATTTTATCAAGTATTTTGTACGTTAGAATTCTAATACTAATGTCTTTCGTAAAATTAATTATATATTTCATCATTTATTTAAAGATAATAAATATTAAAATTTTCTAATGCTATGCTTATTCATTCATAAGAAAAATTAAACTTATTACAATAATAGTACGTTCAATAATTCAACTGCATTACCTTATGAATAGTTGAATTATAAATTAGTTGATATCAGTTAATATAAGTTAGTACTATAGATTAAAGTTTGCAATTAATAAATCTACTACAAGCAAAAATAAATTATAATTCTTACCGTGGAAATAAAATTAACCTGTAGCTCGGAATATAATTTTGGATGAATGTGAAATACGTGGAGTAATAACACCAATAATAATAATATAAAACAAATTGCACTTTAATATTCACTTAAATTTGTACACTTACAAAAAAGAAGGAAAGCAATTATTTTCATGAATAGGATGACACGTATTTTTAGTCCCTAATGCATTCTTGTGCAGTTTACTATATAAAGTATTTTTAAATATTTCCGCTTTATATTTTCTGTCAGTGTCTGTGTTGTATATAAGTTGATGTGCTGTATGGGTTGAATTGTGTATGCGTGTGCGCGCACCAATGTGCGAATGTAACGTGGAAAATATTTTCTCCTTTACTTACAGAAATAAGTAATAACTTGGTTTCTCGCCAGATATACAAGTGTAAATGTACATTGGGATCATACGTCTACAACACAGCTTACCTGTTTCATCTATATCACGTAACGCGATTTTAATAATACGAAAAAATATATAATTTTATATAATTACCCTTGGACGACAATTTTTTAAAGAGTCAAAGCCCCGAACATTTTATACATTGTATAATATGTACGTCTTTTTCGAAACTTATTAATACATTAATGTATTTCAAATATAAAAATATAATTGAAAAGTAAGCTTTTCTAATAAGCTAATATTTCATAGATTTTTAGATTACAAATTATATCATACTGAAGCTTATATCTTCTTATAATGCCAATACAATTTTATATATTAATCCTTACTTTCTTTTTTCGACTATCGTAAAATACGTAAAGTATGCGTGCATTATACATGCAAAATAGCGCCATTACTTTTATCAAAAATGTATCATATAATTTGAGAAATTTTTGGTTCGATTAATGAATTTAATATGTCGTTCGATTGTAAAAACACATTTATATAAAGTAAGATGACATTTCAAGAATTTATCATTTTCGGATTGTCTGCCGTTGTTTTTCGTTTAATTTTTTTTTTATCATTTCACTAACTTGCCGAAGACAGTAAATCTTGTAAAAAATCAAAACTGATGCAAGTTATGTATTACTTAATTTTTTTTATTGTCGATAGTCGATATATATATATATATATACATTACATAAATATATATCTTTAATAAGTGAATAATATCACTGAGCATTCTCCCTTTCATTCTCTCTCTCTCTCTCTCTCTCTCTCTCTCTCTCTCTCTTTATATATATAATCGTAATTTTTAGTATTATATTAATAAAAATGTCTTTTATATCATACAAATTTTTAATTAATAAATTATTGATGCAGTTTTTATTAAAAAAAAAAATTTTTTTTAACCAAATTAATCCGAAAGGGATTATTGAAAATATTTAAATTAATAATTAATTCTCATTTCCTTTACTAATGTATATTAATGATGTTTAAAAAAAATTCCTTCAATTTTACCATTCGTTTTAATTTCCATTGTTACGAACTTTCTTAGAAAACCTTATTTTAAGGAGTTAATTTTTACATTTTATTTTCTTAAATTTGACATAATTTATAAGATTTGTATTTTTTGCAACAATATAAAAGACGTCTACATCAAATAATTTAGATTGTTTCTTTTGAGCACTTCGAAAATTAAATTATTAAACTTTTTTTGTTTCTTTGTTTTTGTTTTTGTTTTTTTGTTTTTTTGTTTTTTTTTTGTTTTTTTTTGTTTTTTAATAAAAATCTTTAAGTTGGTATATATATAAAAGTGTATATTCATTAAAATATATAAAATACTCAGAAAATTCGAGAACATTGTAGTAATATCGAAATATCCTTACAATTAAAATTTAGATTTTTGTAATAATAGCCTTTTGTCATTATGAAACAATATTCCATACCATTATTATATTAAATTTGCATAATTCATTTAAAATATTTTACTAAATAATAATAATATACATAATAATTGTGTGCGTGCGCGCGTTAGTGTGTTTATGAGTGTATGGGTGCGCGCGTGCACGCCCCTAATAAATTTCAATAGCTTACAGCTCAAATATAACTTTAATTTCTTTTGATATTCGTTTGCTATTATCGTGCAAAATAATAATAATGATATGACGGTAATTATTGTCTTTGATCTCGCCAAAATTCGAGAAAGCATAAATTAATTGTTTTTGTTTGATTGTTTCTCTTCGTGTGCAACGCTCGTGTCTTAGGTGAAAAGTTTTTTCTTTGATTTAGCAAGTTTCATTTGATTTACATTTTTCCACTGTAATGCTATAAAAATGTCATCATATTTAAATTAATACGAAATAAGGTGGTTTTCCAAGTGTTCAAAGAAAATTGAGCTTAGAATACTACAGAATGTGAAAATTGTACCAAGATTAAATATGCGTTAAATAACTACATACAGTTTCTTTTGACTCGTAATTTTATCAGTGCTAATAATAGTAGAAAAATACCTTTTACGATAATGTACCTCGATACAATCAGATATGGGTAACTTTCGTTGATATGATGTGACAGTTCCATTATTTCTCGTGGCTAATATATCGAATACCGAGTTGTCGTTACTATTAAGTAAATTACGCACTACAAGAGTAATATTTTGAAGCTCGAAAATACGTCGAACAGTTTATGCAATAGTAAAAGCTACTCATATCCACGTCCTACCCAACTCCATCCGCATTCACGCGGTCATTCACGCGTCCTCGCACTGTCCTGTGCTCCTAAGTCTCGAACGTAATAAAATTCGCATAATTATTCGTTGATTAAGCCCCTGGGCTTGAAAGTCTTGTGCAATTCCCTCGTACGAGTCTAATTACACTTTCGTCAATTTCAAAAATTTCCGAAGCTTAGCTCAATGTTAAAGGACGAGGCAATTAGCTCGAATAATAGCAAATAGTCGTTATTATCACGTCTCTCTCGCAGCGAAGCGTCGACTCGCCTCGACCGTGTCCGCTCGAGCCTAAATTCTAAGTCCGATGCAACGGAAACTGCACTCCACAGTCAACAGGTGTAAGCGCTCGACTCGGCGGCAACGACATTGGCCCGGAAGCCCTCATCCGAATAGGGCAGCGACCGAGGACTCGCCGAACTTGGTCCTCCCGAGTCCCTCAATCCCACTCGCCATTCCCCCATTCGAGACTGGACGCGTCCGGACGACCACCGGTGCCTTCGCTTCCAAAGCTCCCCCAGTTCCCGGGCGCTCAGACTATCGTGCACTCGCAGCACTGCTGAGTGAAGTAGACGCACTTGATGAGGCAGCTGTCGTTGTCGATGTCCGGTTGCTGCTGCTGTTGCTGCTGGGGCGGCTTGGCCTTGAGGCCATTGGAGTCGACTCGGTCGTGGTCCTTGTACCCGTTGCGCGATAGCTCGATCATCGGCCGTGGCTCCGGTGAGGGTAGGGTCGAGCGCACGATCGGCACGGCCTCCACGATGGCTTCGTCCTCGGAGCTGCTAGCACCACCGTTGCCCGCCTCGGACTTGGAGCCGCAGGGCGACGGCGAGGAGTTGCTCGTGTTGTTCGCGCTCGAGGGCGTTATCTTGCCGGGCCGCGGCTCGTCCGGCAGTTCCACGTAGCCCGGGGATGGGATCGAGGCCTGGAGCGTCGGCGATGAGTCCGCCGACATCATCACGCTGAAAAAGGAAGACACGAAGTATTGAGTTATTAGCGTTGACTTAATGGTCCTTTTTACGGCTCCGCGTGTACAGCACGCCAAGGGTGTGGGGTTCGGCTCGTCGAGCTGCGCGGGGAGGGGGCGGGGAGGTGGAGCGGGTGGAGGATGAAGGCGATGTAGGGTTGTGGGATGTATGGGGGGGAGGGGGAGGGGGGGAGGAACCGAGGCGAACAACTCGCAATAAAATTCACGATAAAACTTGTCTCGAAAGGGTGTGACGAATTTGGTAAGAGAGCGAAAGGAAGGAGGTTCTTGGGCTGAGACGCTTGCCAAATTTATCGGGACACGTATTTTTTTTCCTTCCCGCGTATTGTGCTGAGATCGAAGTGTGCGAGCAGAGGTCATAAACCACGTAATTATCTACTTCGTAAAATAAAGCTGAAGCTTTTAGGGGAATGGTACTTGCTACGTCGTAATTATAAGCTGTTTGTGTTAAAAGTTGCTAAATTATTTTAAATTGAAGTTTGTCTTTTTTACGCAAAATCTAAGGTACTATATTTGTATAGTATTTTTTTATTGTCGATAATGTAATAATAATAATTTATTAACGATACAATAAATAGTCCTTTCTCAATATTAATAATTATAAATTATATTTTTAATATCTAAATTGTTTTTAGTTTGAAGATTTAAACGAAATGGATCTTAATATTCCATTTAATTTGCCACTCGCGAGTATTTTAAATCCTCGCACAATTATGTTATACTTTTTCACCTTTCTAATTATTATGATTATTTTAATGCTCATATTATATCTGAACAATTATGAAAATGTAGACAGTTTATTTTTTTAAATCTGAATGAAAACAATAAAAAATAAAACAATGTGCATAAATAAAAACATCACGAAACGATGACAAAAAGATTTGGGCTTAGACGCTCTTATAAAATGATTTATGCAGTGTAATAAGATCAAACTAAATGATCAATAATCATTCACCAGTAGATCCAAGTTCAACTTATTTGGAAATAATATTAAACGTCGAACGAAATATAAATATAAAGTTTTTGTATAGATTCGTGCTCGTGTTTGTAAAAACTTTCTATAGTATTCGATATGGTAATTTCATATTCTTGTCTCCGATGTACGATATATCTAGCGCAATCAACTCCTTAATTTGTCACACAATACTAACAATATACAGGCGCACATACTTACATTCACACAAAGACATATATTCGAACTTCCTTTTAAGAAATAAATTTGTTCAAATTAACAATTACGATTGCCATAACAACACAAACAATAGCAGCAACAGCAATAACAATAATAATAATAATAACAATAGCAATTATATTATAAGCTTACTTACACGGAAAATGCAAAGATTGAATAAATATTACTCGAGTTTCTTATTAAAAAGACAATTAACAAATAACGTATAATTATTTCAAAATTGATTCCATTAAAATATATATTTATTTAATTTCGCATAAAGTAATATTTACGAATAGCTGATGAATTCTGATTAAATTATCTGAAGAATTGCCAATACAAGTTAAGAAATTATAATTAAAAATAATACATAAATTAATTTATGCGTTGCAAAAACGTTTGTTTTTCGTGTGCAAGAATCGATACGTTCGATCAATACAAATTTTTCGAACACTCAACTTTGCTTCGCAATTCTTAAAACAGATAGAAAATTTAACGCCAATGCATCTTTTTATTACGAAATTTTATTTATCGTTTATTTATTATATTATTAAAAAACATAATGACTAATCGATCCATGCAAATCAATCTCGTCTTTCGAGATGACATGCAATATTATCAATAAGAGACTTTTGTACCTAAGCCATTTAATAATTCAATGTGTCAAATTTAATTGTTAGATATCATTAAAATATAAATTAACCATACAAAAGAAAGAACAATAAAGTTTACAGAACAACATTTAAAAATTCAGGTAATTAAAATAATGCTTTTTAATATGTACTTTTGCAGCTTATTTTTGTTGATAGTAGAGTATTGCCATAATGCAGAATATAGAATAACATATGGATTGAATGAAAAATTAGCAACAATTTTGCATAATTTGTTGATAACAACTTAAAGCTAATTTAAATCGTTATATTGAGAGAAAAAAATAGGCTGTTAACGAACAGTAACTGTGTGTCATCGAGCAGGTAATCGATGATCGGCAACGATGAAAACTATCGTCACTTCCATACAATTACAACTCAACAATATATGATAATTACTTATCTTGACATGAAGCTATTCAATAGCGCTATTGTAAATGTAGTTTTAGATAACTCGCATTAAAATATTTACATATAATTTTACGATATTTAATATTGCATTGGATAAGTAGTTGAACGTAGTTAATAATTTAACGATATAACCGGAAGGACTAATTCTAAGAGGATTCGACCTATTAGCTTCGTTAAAATCCATGAGAAATTTTAAATTATCAAAATTTATAAGTTTATATATATATATATATATATATATAATGAAAGCTAATTGCGAATATTATTAGCTAACTGCTAAGAAAGCTCGCATTTGCGATAGAATTTTGGATAGATTTAAGTCACGATTGTACGTGAAAAATCTTCATACATTTCTTAATGTACATTATAATGTTTATTGAAGAAATTGTTTCCAGATAAGCTTCATTTGATGGACTATGAACTGCTATCTCAATAGACGTACATTTGATGGATGTTATTATGTAACTATAATAATGCTATTATTATAGGCATGAGAATTTATTGCTCGTAATGTGTTGGACTATGCCGATAAGTATTTATAAAAATTCTTGACAAATAGCAGATAGGCAGCTGCTTATTATAATTGGCGCCTTACGGTCAGTAAGTAATTCAAACAATTAAACTTTCTAACAGAATTAAACCTCCGAGCGCGACTCTGTCTAGGCTCGCGGCTCGATGGTTTTCACCCGCAGAAATTCGTCGCCTATTTAATAATGTTCCATCACATCGTCTCGCAGCTAATCCGACACAACCGAATAAAATATGAATGGTAGCATGCGCTAACTTACAGCAAGGGATGCATAATTAAAGCGATTTCGCATTTCGACTACGAAGGGAATGAAAGGGAATGAATAACATGGAATACAACTGGGTCATTGTGTTTGCGGTACCTATTCCCTTCTCAAATCATCAACTATTTTTCTTTTTCCTTACCTACCCATGCTTCTCAAGCGCATACGTAATGCTTGAATGTCTGACGTATTATAATACCGATTAAGAGAGGAATATATTTTGAAAATCATTAAAAACGATAAACAGTATTTTTTAATTTAACTCTTACGTCCAATTATTAAGCACTGTTTTGTTTCGGTAAAAATAATTTCTCTCATTCTTTTAATAACTTATAGTTTTGCTTAAATCTGTGCTATTAATAGAATCAGTGACGACAGTATGGATTATTATTTATTAGCTTAAGTTATTATTTTCTTCGACTAATTTAATTCGACTATTCGGTGTCACTTCTATCTTTACTCTAATATATAAAAATAAATTTCAGCTATAAATACTTGATTCATAATGAAAGAAAGGGTAATTAAAATTTGAATATTATATATATATATATATATATATATATAGATCAAATACTAAGGCTTTTTGTCCTTCTGTTTTACAAAAGTATTGGTTGAGCAATTCGTGATTCGACACCGACGAAGAATAAAAATAATATAGTTGATATTAAGCGATAGATTTCAAATATATTGCTTTCACCTTGAATCAAGTAAAAGCTCAGTGTGGAAACAAATTCGTCATAATTGATATTAAGATAATGCGAAAGTTTCCCTGCTTGAGAATATTAAGTTTCAAATTCAAATGATTGAATTTTATAAGCAATTCCGTTGACCGGAAAGAATTCGTCGATACTTCGTATGATAAAGTTTCGTTTTAAATGCTTAAGCATTGGAATTGTAACTGATTAACAGCAATCGACATTAACTGTCACGTCCTCCTCCGAGTCTCCCCATACTACCGCACAACTCTAATTGCTATTCCTCTGTGTTCTACGATTGGATTGTGCGCGCATCGTCTTTTTTCTGTCTTCTCGATCGTGCGGTCGTACGTTCGTTAACTAACATTTAAATATCTCTTGTGAGCGTTCATGGGAAAATCAAAGGGATTTCCGTGTTTGAATTTTTCCTTTATAGAATTAATTATACTTCGTGTGTGAAATTAGTGATATTGCAAAGACTTTGGAGCGGTTGAAAAGGTATAATTATTACCTTATACTAAAAAGCATTCAGTGATCACGAAGCTTTAGGTTTTATATATGCATATACATGTTACATTATGTTATGTATGTAAATCATTATTGGAACTATACGATATATATATATATATATATATATTCGTACTTTGGCTTTATGAAATTTATAAATTTTCCTACAAATCATATTTATACTTGAGGCCATTCGAGCGAAACAAAATAAAGTGTCGCTTAACTAAACTTAGGTGGACTTTTAAATCGAATGATAATTCGTTCGATTGATAATCCGTGTCCGCGCAATTTCCCATTCATTTTCCTTTATGTAATGATTCGCGCGAAATATTGGGCTCTCGCGTGTATATACCTTCGTTTATCTATAACTTTTATCTTTGTAATATCTGCGTGCAATTTTAAACGCGTTTTTCAGAACGAAATGAACAATGTACGTGATACTTCTAGTTATTTAATAGAGATGACTGAGACCGGCAGTTAAAGTAAAACGAGCATAATACTCGAGGAACTAGTTTTAATCTTTTTGATTAAAGTCGCTAAAGAGCATTTCGTTATTATTTACAAGAAAAATTAACGATGATTATTATATTTTCTTTTTAATTACAAATAATAAAGAAGATTTGCGTTCAACTGCCATAGAATGAATAAAGGTATTACTGTTTTGGCACTGGCTTTGGTGACTCTTTCCTTACCGTTACTTTTTGTACACCGTGTATGCCTGTGTATGTGTATTTTTTATTTATTTATAT